AGATCTCGGCTGGCCAGGCGATGTGCTGCGGTGCAGCAGCCTCAGCGACCTGGAGGCCTTGGTGGAGGCCCAATGCTCCGAGCTGTTTTTCTTTTTTATTTCTTATATATATATATATATTTGTTTCGTTTGTTCTTCTTCCTTTTTTTCTCCTATTTTATTTGTTGTTTTTCTTTTTTCCGGGTGTTCGGAGGGCTTTTTTGGTCTAGCCCAAATCAAACCCACCTGAGTTATACATAGGGTGGTGCTTTTACTGGTTTTTTTGGTCTAACCCATATTGAACCATCCTGGGAGTGGTCAAGGTCAATTTGGCTCATGGCCCAGTTTGGACACCATCGTAGTCGGCATTTGGGGCCGATAGTGTTGACCCCAAAGAAAAATCAACCAGCCGAAATGTGGGGAATCAGACCTGTTGGAGGGGAACCCGCCCCTATTAATAAACTGGGGGTGTTTAGTATGGGGTGAACAGTACCCGGTGCTTCCAGGCAAGCCACCAAGCTAGTATAGTAGGTAATCAGGGGAAACCATCAGGTAACACCTAGAGGTCAGAATTCCGATCGATGACCTGCTGTGGCTTACTGAAAGCACTGGGTTTTGATTCGGTCCGCCGGGTCCGCCTCCGAAAAATCGGTCCCTCTTAGGACACCCGAGTCGAGTACCATGGTACGGGGACCTCGAGGTTCTGCAAGCAAGCGATCGGACCATAGGCGAGCGGCCGAAGGCAAAAACGACCTAGGGAAGAGATATCCATTTGTAGCCAAGGATTAGAGAGCCCTTAAGGGGGGTCGCGTCATGGGTTTGGATTTCAGGCAGTTTCAGGCAGAAACGAAGCAGCCCAAAACAGCCCGATAGACCAGATGTGCTGGAGAAACCATGCACAAAGGTGGTAATCTACTACTAGTGGTTGCTAGGAGCTCCAAGAATTCAAGCGGAAGACCTCCCCTCGAACGAGCGTTTTCCCGTATGGGAAACCCCAGCACCCCGCTGCTCGAAAATGGGCGGTGCGGACCCAAGGGATCCGCTTCAGTGTTGAAGTTGTGTGCTGGGTGGAAGATGGTAGAGGGCGTTGGGCAGTTTGTTTGGTCGTTTGTGCTTTATGAACTTAAGAGTCCGGCCAAAGAGCATGCCTTTTCAGAATGCTTTCTTTGGAGCGGTTGCTTCGGCTGGCTTTCTGAGGTCTTTTTCTCATCGCTGTGCGCTCTGTTTCGCAGTCTCCAACACATGTTCGGTTTCAAGAAGTCATCAGGGCGCTGTTCTGTTTGAAGGACACAGAGGATGATCTACCGTGCCACGGCGTTTAGATTTAGTTTGTGTTCAGCCAACAGACACTGAGACTGGAATGTATGGAGAGCCCAGCTTTGGGTAATGAACATCTGAAATCTCAATTTACAGTTAGTTCCTTTCTAACCCAGTGCTTGCTTCCAGGCAAGCCACTGTAGTAGGCAATCGATCGGGTTTCTTACCAGGTTTTACATCATGGTTTCCCCTGATTACCTACCATACTGCCTGGGTGAGACAACCAAGAGGGAAGTGTTTGTGTGTGTGTGTTTGTGGCGACGTCCATCCTCCGTCGTAGACAAACCCCGGCCTCAACCTGCCACAGGATGCAACATCGCCGGTTGCCCCAGCTTGGGAATCAAAGCGCCTGGTTGTTTGGGCTTTGCTAGGGACGGTTTCCTTCACCGTTGTTGGCATGCTGTCAGAATTGCTTGGTTTTGTTGGTTCCGTTCACTTTTAGCAAGCTGCAAAAACAAAGTGTGTTGCTACCATATCAAGAGTTGGACAGTTTAGGGATTGTTCACGGGGTGGCACTACAAGACGGCCATGCCCCACGCTCGAGGAGTGTTGGCCGTGTCACGTGTGGCCAGACGTTGGCCTTGGACACAGCCTAGTTGAATGCCTGTTGCCAATTCGATCTATATATATATATATCGAGGTTTAATGCATGAACATAGGTGTCCTTTTTGGTTGTTTTGCTAGAAAATAGATGGCCCTGGTTTACCTGGTGGTTTAATCATCTACCAGGGCCATCTATTTCCGCTAAAAGGACACCTATGTGCATGAGTGTACCTTTTGTGCGCAGGGCAGGGCACAGAGCCCTCAGGACCATTGAAAAGAGACTGCGTGCTTTGGCTTCCAGCTAAGGGTAGTGGCCTTCAAGGCAGAGGATATGTAATATGTATAGAGTCCTCTAGGTAAATCGCATGTTTCAACTCACGACAGAACACACTACGAGAGTTTAAAGCAAAGAAAGCCAGCCACGAGGAATGGCAATTAAGGGCTTTTGCTTGGAGGAAAGTACGAACTTCAGCTTGGCACGTTGCTGATTCGATTTGAACAATGCCCGGAAGACCAAGTCAGGGCCATGAACTCATGAGAAGAACTAACCACTGGGGAACATATTCAGCACGGTAGCCAGATCAGATCTGCCAAGGTGTAACAAGCGACAGTGGACGTACAATTTTCAACGGTAAAACTACATAGGACAAACTGTTTAACCTGTCGACGGATCTAACTTGCTGTGAGAACCATGCTCCACATATGCTTTCGAGTTTCAGCGGCGTTTTTGATGCACCAGCTTTGATCAACATCCGCCGTGTCAGGCTATCAAGGGATATATCATATGCGTTAAATATGATTGTGTCGTTGTCATGATAAGCTCGTCTCAATTTGATTCCTCTCAGTATTTTCTGAACCCACCTTAGATGCACGTGGATCCACCCGAAATGAGCCCTAAACCAACGTTGGGAAAGGGTCGAATGAGGAATCCAGCTAGTAGGTGCTTCACACCGTTAAATACTCTGAGGGGATTTATTAACCAGGCCCAAACAACGTTCATGTCAGTTCCTAATAGTACACTCCCTTGCGCGCTGCACCGATGTGGGTGTTCTTATCCTTTCAGCGCAGCGCGTGCGTTTAGGTCAACCTACTCGCTAGTAGTAATTATTCGCTTGATTCAGTATATTGTTTCTGGCATCGAGCAGGTCAAGGTTCCTGTGTTCAAATTGCCACACTGCATGGCCGTTCACTTGAACACTTGCTGGTTCGATAGGAAAGGAATGAGTTTGAATGACCCCGAGAGAAACCATTCCCTATGGCTTCCTCTAAGGGAATCCCAATTCAGCTCATTCCCAACACCCGGAAGGTCGTATGAGCACCAGCAAGAAAACAAGTGTGCTTGTGCTGTTCTACCCAGAAACGTAGCTGTATTTTCTGCTAAGTTCAATACCCCAACGAGGCACCCTCAACTAAAAGCGCGCACCCACAGCTTGTCAAGTAGCTTGGCAGGTAGATGTGTGCCTTTGAGGACATCCTCCCGCTATGAGTGTACATGACGGATAGTCACCCGTGTTCCGAGGCGCTCCAGCACAGACTTGCCTTGCCAAGAAGCAGGCATCGGCTGAACGGGTCATGGTGGGCATGTCTTTTGAGGGTGTCCTTTTTCAAGTTGGCTTTCGCTCACTCCCCGAGCTCATGGACTTTGGACTTTTTGGGAAGACCTTTTTACTGGTACAGAAAGAGTTTAGACTCTTTGTTGGCCCATCTACTCAGGAAGTGAGTTTAAAGGGACACCAATGGACACTAGATTTTGTCTGAGTGGTTCCACTTTTGGAGACAAGTCCGTGCGTGAAATCCAGCTGGATTTGTTGGCGACCTTATTGATTCGCATTTCACAGTCTTCCCTTGGAAGGGTGTTGGACGGGCAAGGTTTACACAACTCTCAGGGAACTAGAACAAGCTGTATACACACCCGGGCAAAGTGGGAAGCAACCCTTCATGCACACAAGTGTGAAGCCGAGGCATGTAGGAGATGGTGCAACAATTTGGTTGGCAAGACTAACACTCGCTTGACTGGCAACAGGGACGTGGTTAGCAGGACTAACACTCGCTTGACTTGCAACAGGGAAGTGGAACACGCGGGTCCGCAAATTTACTGCTTCTTCCACTTCCTTATACAAACCTGGGTCCTCCGTCTTAAGGTGACAGAAGTACGAACGAAACCACTACCTTTGTCCGGCCAATCCGAGATTCCCAGCCGAGCTGAAAAACTGCGCTCAAAAGACCGCTCAGGCCTTTACCCGATCTACGCCATTCCGCGTTTCTGGAAGGCACAGCGTTGGGGAGAGTTTGGGCAGAGGCGCACATGTGAATGTGGGTCCTTTTGTGGGGCCCTTTCCAGGTGGGTTGGAAGGGAAGCCAAAAGGAACGGGGGTACCCTGGCTTTGGCATATACTATTGGGCTGTCTCATCTCTTTTGGCCTGGTGAACTCGATGTTGCCCATTCAAATGGGTAATTTCCGCATGGCTTCCTTTCAATTTGTCAGTGCAGCCTTTCTGTTTCACAAATTTGAAGCGCAAGAACCAAGTGTTATGATTTCTCAGCTTGCAACTCAGACATGCGTGCACGCGTGTTTCACATGTCTTGGGCAAAACACCAATATTGTTGCCCGTGCCAGGTGCATATTCAGATTCAGATGTATGTGATAGTCTTCGAGTTATGGCATGTTGCCTTTCAAGAAGCGTGTACACAGAGCAGTCTCCAACATCCATGGCATGGTCTTCCATGAGGCCCAAGGTGCATGAACCAGACTGTGTGAACCAGTCTTCCATCCATCTTCCGCCATTCACATCAATGTGAGCAGACATGGCTTGCAGAGTCCTTTCTCCCCTACATCTGATGAGACACTTTCCTTCTCAAACAATATTCTCGCAATAGACACACACACACACACACACACACGCACGCACAGAGGTTGACAGGATCGATGAGACACCTCGACGCTACGGTATGCTTTATTGTTGCTTGCAACGGAGGCTGATTTTGCCGCCCTGTGCAGGTTGGTTGCTTGGGAGAGGGTAGTATCAGAGGCCAACAAACATCACATACACCCGGAACCCCGCAACCCCCCGTAGACCCTCGCACCCCGTAGGAAGATGTTGCCTCTCAGGCGCCTGTGGGCTGGCTGATCCAGCTGGACGAGATCCCGGATGAGACTGCCATGCGTGCCTGGGCGGAAAAAAAAAAAGAGAAACAAAACAACATGCATGGGACTGGTTAGTTTTGTTTGCAATTGGCTGCGGCTCAACAACATGTACCAAAATGGCACCTTGCAAATGGAACCAAAGACTAAGACCTGCTTGATTTTGCGCCACTCCCTCCCGTCGTTTGCTTTTGATGTGTGTTCTGTCTCTGGCATGCTTCAAAAGGCCAATCTCTAGTCAAGTCCCAGGGTGGCTTTGCTCTGCTGACTGCCGGGGCCTTTTTTGGTGAATTCACAGTGTGATTTTCAGACAGTTTCACCAAGATACAGGGGTCACTCACTGGATCATAGGTGTCCTTTCTAGGTGAGTTTGGTTAGAAATAGATGGCACCGGCTTAGCTGGGATTTATTTCCCTTACCAGGGCCATCTATTTTTCCAAAAGCCCGGCTATGCACTACTGGATTACTCCCTGAGATTCGTCATTTGCGGCTCAAAAACCATGTACCAAACATTTGGCACCTTGCAAACGGAACCAAAGAAGACCTGCGGAGCCCCAGCGAAAGGCTGAATTTTCGGTGCCCCCGCCCCCAGCCCCACCCCGATTTCCCAGCTCTCCGAAGGCGTCGCCTGCCGCGCGCTGGTGCAGCGACACGTGGGTCTGAGGGCCAGGGAGCCCAGGAAAGCGAAAGCCGCCGCGGGTGAGTGGGGTGAATGAGGAGAGAGGGGGGGGGGGGAGTGGGAGGTTAGTGGGGGCTGAGTGGGGTGAGTGCGGGGTTAGTGGGGGGTGAGAGGGCTGAGTGGGGTGAGTGGGGGGTTAGAGGGGGGTGAGCGGGCTGAGTGGGGTGAATGGTGGGTGATGAGAGCAATGGGAGGACTATGCCCCTGATGATTTTTCGCTGCCACGGACTCGAAGACTGCCTTTCTCACTCAATTTCCATGTCAAGGGCCAAGTCACATTCTTGCGGCCGCCCCGTTCCGAAGATCCGCCTCTTGAGGCAATGGCAAGTATTCCCAGGGAAGTCTGCTCGTTTGGCAAAACGGCTAAACAGCTTTTCTCATCAACCTTTTGAGAAGGCAGGTTCCAACTTGCCGACTGCCATCGATTTGTGGGTGGCCGTGGGTTCCATGGAAAGTTAAGTTCGGTTAAATTGATGGGGTGGATGGCATCCATGAAACGCCTAGGGTCCCGCAATTGGATCAGGTCTGTAAACATATCATTCATTTAGTCGGACTTTCAACACGTACGCTTGGTAGATGAAGACTTGATCCGGGATCGCCGATCATTGCCCTGACGTACACATGAGCCACAATCAAAACCCGGGTAGATGAAGGTTAGGGCCAACCCCGGCCATAAATTGCTGCGGCCGCCTTCTGAATTATTGAGACGTGGTTCTGAGTTCACCATTTTAGTACCGAGTTTTGATAGTGGCGCACGTGGAACGTGGCAGACACAACGTCTTCGCAGCCGGCGCCGCCCTTCGCAGGCTGTGCCGTACAGATCCGCTGGCGATGAAGGCACTGCAAGCCTTTGTGGGGGCGCCCGGGGCCGTCCTTTGGACGGGAGCTTGGAGCTTGACTTCTATTGGGTTGGATCTTTAGACTCTAACTTTTTGGAAAATCAAGGCGGTTTCCACTAAACCCCCCAATGTGTTTTTGTTTTTTTTGCAGGGAGGTCAACACCAACCAAGGGAGCATTCAATCATTGAATCAGGTGTTGCAGTGTGGCCTCTCAGGCTCTCGCAGCGGTAGAGTCCATGGCCATGCGAGTCTGAAGCGCACATTGGTTGCAGAGCTAAATTCCCTCGCTGGTTGCCAAGAAGTGGGAGGTACCTCCAGTAGCTGTATTTGTCTCGCCCGTTTACAGGTCGTTTTAAATCTAGAGTGAGTAGTTTTGAACATGTTCACACACACACACACACTTGTAACGCTTGACCTCCAATAGCATGTGCCTTATGGGGGGAGGTCCTGGTTGTATACTGCAATGGTGTCGGTACGTTGGTGGTGGTAGTGTAGCCAGCGGGTGAAGCCATCAATGACACAATGTTAGACTTACTTTAACCAACAGGCACACAACGACCTTTGACATATACCCCGGAACTCAGTTTGACGCATGGATGTGTCTCAAAATAGGGAACCCAAAGAATCGATGTTGTATATTTTTTGGAGGGGCGGGCCCCCGCTTTGGCGTCCATGAGGCATGAGCGCCGTGCAGACCTTGCTGGTGCTTCGGGCCCTTTTCGGTCTCGAGGAGGCGGCGTATGGCTTTTGGAACCAAAAGAAACACCGCTTTCCGGGGCCAAATCCGCCTGAGCAGCTCTAAAACCCCCCCGTTACATCCCACGCAAGAGTTGTGTCACAACAAGAGGTTTATAGAGTCGCTCATCTTATCTCGCCACATGGGGGTTGAAGGTTTTTTTTTTCTTCCTGGAATGACCATTGGGGAAACCACCGAAACAGATGACCTTCCCCACGTTACGGGAATTTGAGGGCCAGGAATATTGAGCAGCCGCCACATACCCAAAAGGAGCTTTTGGCTTTGACCTGTTGTTCATCTTGCTTTCTGTCCTGCATCCCCTCTGCTTTCCTTGATGGGTCAAACAGGTGCCCTTGCTTCGCTGGCCATCTCTCAAGCGTGGTTTTCTTTGATTGGGAGAAATGTACCTGGAAAGGCAAGCTTGCATGCTCCGGGGTACTGAGGGTGCCTCAAGCGTAAAGCTGCGTCCCCAAAACACATGTTGGAGCCCCGATGGTAAAACGAGTTGGGGGTCAGGGTCAGATCGGCTTTTCCCAAGCTTAGCGCTGGCTTAGTATTGGTTAGGTGTATTATTGGCTTAGTATTGGTTTGTATCAGTGCTTTGGCTTCGAAGCTTGTCTTCGGTCCTCTTCGGTCCTCATCGGTCCTCTCTGCCTAGTATACTGGTTTTTGAACCTTTGAGCTGGCCCAGTTCTGTTTGGAATTGGTTTAGTAGTTGTTTTAGTTTTTTTTTTTTTTCCGCCTGGAACAAGATGCAGAATTGGGTGCCTTTTTTGGATTTAATTTCTATGATTAGGTGTTTGGGGTGGCCATGTACTACCCCTTGGCAATTGGTCGCATGGGCACTTCTGCATAAATTCGATATGTGATGATAGAAGCAGTTTGGGGGATGGGGTATGGCTTGCAGAAAATTGCAGGCTAGCTTCACATTCCGTTCCCCCCAATAATAAACGCAGACCCCCCCTAATAGTAAATCAGGTCTGGGGGGCAAACCATACTTATTAATATATAGGTTCCTTTGGTGTCCACCAGATTTCTCCTTCCCGGACACGAAACATGTCAAGACTGCAATTTCCCAGGTAACAAGTTTAGATATCACCAGTCAAGGTCGTTTTTTGTTCGTTGCGGTTCAAAAGTAAAGAGCTCAGTGTAAATTTAGAGTGACAATTTATGCAAGACATAAACGTAAGTTGGTAAAAGGTAAGTACCTAGAGTCTCCATGACCCCTAGAAAAGGGGGTCATGACCCCTTAATTTTAGGCAATGCCCCCATTTTTTTAAGGGTCATGGAGAGTCTAGGTACATTCAGAATTTGGTATGGGGCTGGTGCAAAGAGCTGTTGGGTCCTGGACCAATTACCCCCTAAGGCTGGGGCTGGTCCGCGCGAGAAATCTGAAGGTTCAGTATTGGTTTTGAATTGGCCTATTCTAAAAGTATTGGGGACCCGGCGGTCTGGAAAAAAATGTGTATATTAATAGGGTGCGTTTTAAAAGGGGGAACCAAGTACTCAGAAGGAAGAAGTACTGGACAAGGAGAGAGAGAAGTAGTGGCGGCGGCGCGTGTCGCTTGGGCTGGTCGAAGACCAGGGATGAAGCGTGGGCAACATCATCACACGCGGAGTTGTTCGGAGAAGCAGCACACTCTATATAGTATTATGGTACCCATTTTCATTTTCGGGGGACAGACTAGTTTTTTTGGAATCACTGTATTACATTAGGTTTCCTTTGATGAATCGGGCACTCGAACAATTGCAAGGCTTGCTGGGACGACTTTCCAAAAGCGAAGTTTTCTGCAAGTGTCCGCACTGTGGCATGCAAGGGCCATTACTGGCTGGTGCGATAGGCAGGGAGTGAGAAATGGAATGAGCCTTAGAAACCATCCAGGATCCAAGTGGTAGTTTCCATGGATTTCTGGGTTTCCCACATTCCCGGATGTCGCACTCCCAGACGCTCCAAATCCGATCAATACAGGGCCCTCAAACAGCCAGGTCTTGAGACCGGGTCCGAAAAACGCCAGTTGGCGGAGCCTCTGGGCTGTCAGCTCAACACATATTTGTTTCTACCTGGACTCTCCATGACCCTTAAAAAATTGGGGCATTGCCTAAAATTAAGGGGTCATTACCCCTTTTTCTAGGGGTCATGGAGACTCTAGGTATGTGTTTTTCCCCTTCACAAAAAGTGAGCCCACTGGTTCCCACTACCACGGAAGACCACGCAATTCCTTCGTAGGCCGAAGAGAGGCCGGCCTTGGATGGCTCAGCCGCTGTCGGGCTGCTGAACGCTTGGCCCGGGGCCCAAAAGGGGGGTGTTGAGGGACAGGGGCCCTGCGGGGTGCATGTTCCCTAGGTCCCCCAGCAGTGGGGAGGGTTCCCCTACTAAAATAGACTACAGAAGAAAAGGATACCCGTATTCTAACCTCTCTACTGGAGGACCTAGTTTATTTTCCAGATGAAAATGGCGGGGTGCACTTCCATATTATTGTTTTTAAAAGCTCTGGCCCGAGCACCTCCCGGTGGTAGAGCCGGTGAACAGCGAAGCTTGGGAGGCGCCATGGACACAGGTCTGACCAGCCTTGCTCTCGGCAGCAGGGCCACTTTGGTGGCGCGGGCGATCGCCGCCAACACAGAGTCGGGCACGGAGATGATGGGGCTTTGCCCTGAGCAGCGCTTCCTCGTGGACGCCCACATCGATCAGGACACGCTGGTCACTATCTACAACGCGGAGCTTTCGGCCGCTGGGCAATTGCCTCGGCTTCATTTGGACAATCATGCGGGATGGATCGCCCATTTGAAGCCCACCCATGGGGCTTTCTTCCAGCTCAAAGAGCTCTGCGCCGGTCTTGGTGGCTTCTCTCAGGGAGCCAACTTCGTGGGAATCAAAACGGTCGCCTGCCTCGACCACAGCCGGCTGGCATGCGATGCACTTCGGCTCCAGGGCCATGAGGTGGTGCATGCCCAGATGGAGGACATGGAGGCGCTCTTCAAGTTCCACCAAATCGGATTGGCTCAACCATGCCTGCTTTCGGCAGGCTTTCCATGCCAGCCATACAGTGCCCAGGGGGACCAGCAAGGAATGCGTGACAGCCGGGGGCAAACACTGATCTCCATCTTGAAGGCCTCCTGGTATTTGCAATCCGTGGGCCTCATCCTGGAATGCGTGCACAATGCCCGACACAATGTGGACGTGCAGAACCTCCTCGCGCAATATGCCAACTTACGAAGATGGCAAGTACACCACGTCACCCTTGACCTGCAAGACCAATGGGCCAGCAAGCGCAAGCGATGGTGGTGCATCATGATCCCAAAAGACTCACGAGTGCCCTTTTCTATGCACCCGTGGCCCAGCACCAATCCTTTTCCCAACGTGGGATCAGTCATTCAGGAGTGGCCTGTTTGGAGCAATGCTGATGAGTCCAACCTCCAGTGGACATCGGAGGAGGAGCAGAAGTACGGCGATCCTCAGTATGGCAGGGATCTGCGCCACCTCAACACAGCAGCACCTGCACCAACGGCATTGCACTCGTGGGGGGTGGCCTTACAGGCCTGTCCTTGTGGATGCCGATCCGGGCCGCTCTCCGACACCCGACTGCGGCAACACGGCCTCCGTGGATTTTCGGTCATCTCCAGCAGCACCGGCAAGAAGCGCTTCCTGCACCCGGGCGAAGCAGGTTTCCTGAACACCCTGATGCCTTCAACACCCCTCCCTGGACCGGCCAGGCATGCTCTGTGCCTAATCGGACAACTGGCAGCACCCTTGCAGGCGGTTTGGGTTTTCGGCCACATCGTCAACTGGGTTATCCATATCAACACTGGACGCCCAAAGCGCTCGCCAGTTGGAATGATCCAGGAGTACCAACACAAGCTCCTGCAAGACCGGCTTCTATGCTGGACCACACCGTCCATGTTCATGCCGCGCACCCTCACCCTCACTGAGGATGGAGAACCCGATGCCCTGATCACGCTAGACAAGCCAACTACTCTGGCTCAGCTCAAGAAGGCTGAAACCTCGCTCCAAGGGTGGGGAGCAGCAATCCGTGTCTACCCAGCCGGTTACAACAAAACCGACAATGAGCTGATCACCAGCGCAACAGACCGGCTTGAGTGCGCAGTCAGCCGCTCCACCAAACGCCAGGTACGCAACTACTACGAGACGGCTTCCTCCACTCGCCTCCGGGCAGCCGGACTGGCCACAGCCGACCAGACTTGGGATGACCTTGCGGTCCTCACCAACATCCACAATCTCATCAACTACAACGCCTGTCTTGATCCCCGTCCATGGACCGTCATCACGCCACACCAGGCACACGCACTGCTTGGGAACACCACTGTCCATTCTCGCGTCCACGACGACATCCGGGTTCCCCACACGGATCGCCTGGTCATTATTTTCCCTTGCAACCAGCACTGGACGCTGCTCACTTGCGAGCAGGAAAACAACCACACCCTGGCCACTTGCTGGGACAGGCCAGACTCACCAAACACAGCAGCTGCTCTCAAGCTTGCCACCGACCTCACAGCTATCTACGATTGGCCACCCATCCACTTCCAGCAACAACATGTCTTCGGCTCTGCCTGTGAAGGAGACTGTGGCGCAATTGCTGCTGCCCACTTTGGGTGGCACCTCCAACTGTGGGACCACATTACTCAAGCCCACCTCAGACGATGGCACCACTCCTTCGCCACGCTTAGCCAGCCTGGTGAACTCCGAGCAGGCGGCCCGCTCCTACCCAGCACACACTCCGAACTCAAAGACATCCTCATCTCAAAAGGAGTCCCAGAAGACGCTGCGCAGGACAGGACCGACCAGGCAATTGCCAAGCTCGGCACTGGGCCCATCCAAAAGGCCCTGAAAGACAAAAACTGCTGGCAAGCACTCAAAGCATTAGCATCCAGACCGGCTACCAGGTTCCGCTGGATTCTATACGACGAACTACAGGACCACATTGCATCACGGGCCAGCTCCGAACACGGAGCGTACATCCCAGCAGCCAAAAACAAAAAAGCCAAGCAGGGCTACAAGCCTCACAACCAGCCCGAACTCCACGTTGATCCCAACCAGCTCATCGTCCCCGACGGCATCTTCACAGATGACGAGGACAACAAAATCAGCCAGATTCCTCTTGCTGAAGTCAGCGCCAACAAGAGAGGCTTTGCCATCACTACAGTCGCCGATGCTATGCACTTCATCAACGACGCCCAGAGCATTTCCACGGATGCCCTTGCCATCATTACTACCTCTGAGCTCCCCACGCAGCCCACTGTGCAGCAAGCCGAAACCATTCGGTTCCCGGCGGTCTACACCGGGACCAACGAACCTGTCCTCCTGACAGGGAGCCTCATCCAGATCGGCGACATGACGGTCAAGCGAGTCACCAAATCCGCCGAACCCCTCCAGGATGAGATCGCCACAGCTACGATTCGGGTCAGCGTCTTTGCCGACGAGTGCCCTCACGACTGGCAGGCTTTCGTCAAAGCCCCGATCAAGTCCATCGTCAAGAACACGCCACTGCTCCAGAAGTGCCCAGAAGCATCCTGTAGCGGCAGATGTGGCAAATTCCACCCGGCCATCGAGGAACCCGTCGACTATGTCATACAAGACGTGTGGGCTTGGACTTATGCCTCGGCAGATGGAAAACGGACTGCCATCGAGCACTGTGTCCTCTTCCATGCGCACATCCGGGTACCAGAATCAGCCAGCCCACTCCTCCAGACCGTCTCTGGCAACAACGGCACTTACTTCGATCCACGTGCCCCTGATGGCAGAGCCATTGACCCACGATACACCGTGATCTGGCTGCCAGGCGCCAACATCCAGGATGCCAAACACCGGGCTCGCACATGCGACTCTGCCTTGGCCATCACTCGGCTCGGCAACAAATTCGGCATTCGCGTCCAGGAGCAGGACGAGAAAAGCGCTTTTGCCCAACTCCGACCCGGACACGAATATGTGCAGGTCAAGATCCAAAGCATCTACCGACTTTTTCCCCTGCCACACGGGATTCAGCGCAACGGCATCACCCAACTTCTGACACAGTGGGGATGGAGCGCGCGCCCACTCCAATCCGGACGCGGCTCAGCAGAAGGAGCAACCTGGGAAGTCGGTGCAGCCGCAGACCCACCCAGCTGGGTACTCCCTGGAATCGGCAGCGAGGTCATTGTCACCAAAGTCAAAGACGTTGGTCCAAAATCCAGCAGCAGTTCTACCTTGTGCGCCACTGGGCGCACCAGAAAGCATATCCAGCAAGGAGCCACCTCCAACCCCACCACTGCCGGCCCTCAACAGGACCCATGGCTCCTCGGCGGCGATCCATGGGCAAAATGGCACCACGCCAGCGGGGACATCACCATGTCACCAGTCGTCCCGCAACAGTCGGCCACCAGCTCCAAGAAAATCGACCAACTCGGCACGGCCCTCAAACAGGACATGCAGGAAGCCATACGCACGGAGGTAGCTAAAAACGCGGATGCCTCGAAGCTCATGCAACTCGAGGTCAGTGTCCAAGAGCTCCGCGACCAAGGCAAACGCTTCGAAAACTGGTTCCACGAGGTCAGCCAACATGGCCAGAAGCAGGGAGAAGACCTCAAGCTTCTGCAACAGGTCGTCACACAGCAGCAAGGCGACCTCACCGAGGTCAAACAACAAATCCGCAGCCAGGGAGACGCGCTCCAAGCCGCTGTTGGCAACATCAAGCACGACCTCTCCTCCCAGATCGACACGCAGTTCCAACGCTTTGAGGCCCTACTGGCCAAAAAAGCACGCACCGATTGACTAAGCCCGGATCCCGGAAGCGACCCTCCGGGAAGCCGGCTATGATCACAGGTCGCACCAGTCGCCTGATCCCCACCGCTGTGCTTTGGATTTCGCAGCTCTGCTCCTGCGCGGCTACGCCCATGCCTTACCTGGGAGAACCCTGTGCCCTGCTCTACTATAACAGCGCGAAGGTTTCCGGTCTGGAAACCTCTTGCGAGTCTGGGTCCGGGGGACACCCATGGGAGGGCAACCACAACCGGCACGCAGTGTGCTTTGCAACTGCTGCCAACGACCACCATCATGCTCGCCTCTATCGAATCGGGGAAGCACACAACCCTGGACCAACCTGGCCGCTCCCTCCCACTGAGGAGCTTCTGGCTGTGGGTACCACAAACCCCTCGGGATTGAACGGCAAGGGGGACCTCCAAATCCAACAAGGCCCAGGAATTTGGCATCTCGCCGAAACACAACTGTCCCATGTCACGGGACCCATTGTGCGCAGAAAGCTCGCGCAGCTCGGCCGTGCCCAACAGCG